TTCTAGTATGCTAATCAGTGAAAAGGGACCGATTTTAGTTGGTGTTCATGTGAATTTCAAGTGACAGTTTATCTGAAATTTACTAGATTTGCATAATTTATTGTTATGTAATATAAATTCTATAAAACCAATATAATAATTACTATTGGAAAAGTTAATTTATTGTAGATTATTTCTAAAGATAGATATATACCTATATATAAATGATCTAGTTTATATGAGTCTCTTTTTAAGAATAAAACATTTCAGAAAAGGTTTTGTGGAGATTTCAGTATTTTCATAGTTGAAATGATAAGTTAATTGAAGCTAGACTACCACGGAAAAACTGGAAGCACTGAACGGCCGTTTCGTTCTATTATGGGACTCCTCAGCAGTGAGCACCCACGATCCCGCCTCACGAGATTCGAACCCAGGAACACTGGAGTTCAACCACGTCTGTTTTGAGATATCAACTCACTGAAGACAATTGGTTAACGGTTGCTCAAACTTTGTGGAATAAAATATTTTATCAATATCTAGTCTATGAAAGTTAGAATACTCCTTTTTCTAATTTTTCTTTAAAAGTTAACATCAAAAACATCCAGAAAACATATCTATTTAGATCCACAGAAATATCTGCTAATTAAACTCGGAGTTGGTTAGAAAGACAAACTAAGGAACTATTCAGTAAGTTCATTTGGCATTGTTTGTTCGAATCTTCCCATTGATATTTAGGACTGAAATTGATCCATCTCTTATTGGTATATGTACATCCTGTGAAGATTGTCTCGATATTGCCTTAAGTCATAGGCATTATAAGCTTGGATGGATGATGGCTAGCAGTGGAATCCAGGACCAACGTTGCGTCGATAACACTGAATTTTCAGTTTACTGGCTTTTATGGAGATAAGTACATTAATGTTCATTTGAAGAATGTAGTTGTAAACACTATTTGACTTGACTAAGAACGAAAAACTATTTGTTGTATCATCATAAACTATCCTTTTTTAGAATTCTGCACAAGTCTAACTAGATGATTTTAAATTGGTTCGTGATTTATAAATCCAGAAATCCAAGCAGACATAAGTTATTCAAAAGAAATACGCATCATTTATTGGCTTAACATGGTTATAAAAAGTAATGCTAACAATTTTATTTTAATAACACCATAACTTAGTTTGTATTCATTTCCTTCATTTACTAATCATATGATTATTTTGTATCGTATAATATCCTACTATAAATACCGGTTACTGATAAACGATTTCTGGAACGTTAATCGCCTACAAGTGAACTGTTATGAGAATAAATTAGGTCATGGATGTCATTGGAATCAAGAACTCCAGTTTCATTCTACTTAGGACTCGTCAGTCGGATGTCCTTGTAGCCTAGTGTTGATATTCATACTAGGACTTAAACCCAATGCCTTTCACTTTAAATTCTCAACGTGTTATCCACTGAAACTTTGGTTTCAGATAACCACTAGCTTGTGCAATGGGTAGTGAAAATCAGCACTGTAATTTAGGTACAGCCAATTGATAAATTCCAAATAAAATGAAATATAAACATCCTGAATTCCAATGCTAGTCACTATCCGATTTTATTTAAAAATCCTAATGACTGATACTAATAATGTGTGTATCTAAACAAGCTACACATATATCGAAAGAGACTAATCGATAACAAACATTAACATCAATAATGGGAAGTTTAAAACCCTAACAACTTAATTGAGTTCTTAATAATTCGTTTCCTTCTGTCAGGGATCAATTAACTGAGCTACATCTTCGGTGTCTAGTTTTATTTTTGTTTCTTGAGAGCAGTTCACCAATTTCTTTTTTCATTACAATAGCAAAGTAATCAACCGTATTGTTCAATTATTTCCTCACTGTACACTTAGAAGTAGAAAAACTCTCACTTACAGTAAATAAACTAAGGGAAGAGAAAACTATTCAAAATCGTTTTTTAGTACATTAAGCTACAGTGAGTGGAAATTCTCATTATACAATGTAATTCTATACTAATTAAATAGTTTACTCAGTGAATAGTCTATATAAGTTTATTCGTTTATTTATATCATAACATTAGTTTACTCAGAGCATATATTGGTATATTTGTATTGGAACTAACAGTCGAACCCAGGACAGGCATTTTATCCTAATGTGAACTCATCAATTGGATGTACATTCATCTCAATATGTTGTTGTTCACACTTACACTGAAATTTAATAACTAACGGTTCATACGTCAGAACATTATTCGCTCAGTTACTAATAGCAACTAACTTGTTCAATGGATACGATATTTATTCAAAAGATTTTAAATTATAGCGTTATTTATATGTTCAAGAGTGAATTTCGAACTGTCGTTGTTGGAATACAGTCTACAAAATTCACTACAGTTATATTGAACAACTCTTTTAATAAATCATCAAATCTCTGAACTCCGTAATAGGCAATTAATTCACTTAATTTATGCTTATTATCTTATTACTCACTTTAATAATTGAATAATATGATGCCTTTTACTGGGAAATGTATTTAACCTAAAATAATTTAACTTAATCTACTAACCAATTAAAAATTTATGAACATAACCTTAAGTCGTGTATTGTGTATGAAGACAAGTAATTGTAACAGGGATCTTTAGAAAGAATTTGGTATTTGGTAACTTGGTATTTAAATCTTCAATATCTTTTTAGAAGGGGCTTTTTGGAGATGTTAGTAATTTTATAGTTGAGTTCATGAGTCAATTGAAGCTAGACCACCATCGAAAACCTGGAAGCACTGGACAGCCGTTTCGTCCTATTATGGGACTCCTCAGCAGTGTGCATACACGATCCCGCCTCACGAGATTCGAACCCAGGACCTATTAGTCTCGCGCGCGAGCGGTCAACCACTAGACCACTGAGCTGGCATCCAACGCTGTTAGTGTCTAACTTCAACCAGTGCACGAAATTGAGCAACCATTCACCAATGTCTATAGTGACTTACTACCTCCCAACAGACCCGGTTGAACTCCACTGTTCACTTCTTCTCACTAGAACTCCAGGAATTGTCTCTTGAAGCAAGTCACTAGTGAGATAGTAACTCACTGAAGACAATAGCGAATGGTGGCGCAATTTCGAGGATTGATTGAAGTATGATATTAACAACCCTGATCTAGAGGTTAAGTGTTCGTGCGCGACACAGATAGGTCTTGGACTCGAATCTCGCGAGGTGGGATCATGGATGTGCATTGCTGGGGAGCTCCACACTAGGACGACATGGCCATCTAGTGCTCCCAAGTTTTCCATGGTGGTCTAGCTTCAATTGACTCATGATTTCAACTATATATAATAATATTTTGTTTTAAGAAAAAAAAGAAAATTTTTGCAATTATTATTTATTTTAATAGTTGAGATCATGAATCAATTGAAGCTAGACTACCATGGAAAACCTGGAAGCACTAGACAACCGTTTCGTCGTATTATGGGACTTCTCAGAAGTGTACATCCACTCTCATATACAATCGATTTTATTTACATTTCACTTAATCAATGTTTACAGTTACATCAAAGTGAACAATATTCGAAAGAGAATTTGTCTATAATTTAGTAGAGAAGGGGAGTGATATTTTTTTCATTGTTCTTTAATTAAACAGGGAATAAGAATAGTGTTTTGTGAATTTGTAGTGTATCCTCATCTTAATGTTTAATATACGTGCAATATCTATAACATTTAATGAATAGACACTGTATACAAAAGGATAATTTTTCACTGAGGATTTCATTTATAAGCTCTAACACTCATTGTATTTGCTTTTATTTTCCATCCGACAAGTTGAAATGAGGATAAAGTCCCCATTGAAAATTACACCCTCCTGTTCAGCACTGAGACATTAAAAGAAGGTCGATTATCATTACACATTAAACAATAATATTTTCTTTCTTTTAAAAAGTTGTAACCTTGTTGAACATTGAACAATATGCTTTATACAACTTATCTTAATTATGAAGTAGTGAAGTTTTTTCTCAAAAATTTAGGTTGATGAGAGAGAGATCATGGAACTGCGAACAGTCACATACTAGAATGAAATGGTTGTCCAGTGGTTCCAGGTTCTCACTAATAGTCTAGATTAGATAGATTCATGATTTCAATAAGACTATAAAATTATGTAAGTAGTAAGTGTATATAAATCATCATTTAATTGTTAATCTTACAAAGCTTTAGTACTTAAATGTACAAGCAAACTTCGACTGTTGTTTAGAATTAGGTGATTATTCTATTTTACACATAGTCAGTAAATAAGTTGTGGGTTTAAGAATTCTGGTCAGCGGCATATGCTCCATTGGGGAGGGGGCGTAGCAGCCATAAGTAAAAGTAAAGTAAATAAGTTCTTTCCACTAATAAGTCAAACCAAAGAAAACCATTCAACTTCACACGGTACTAGTTCATTTTTGAGATAATTTTACTGACTAACAAATGCCTTGGTTTTAGGTAAGTAGACTTGTATTTAATAATGTAGCTTTTGAACTCAGTATTATCTAAATTATGTTTACATGCTATGCTGGCGATGTTTGGAAGAGAGTTAGGGGTGACCAAACCAAAACGTGGCATCAGAGCTTGAAGTCACTAACTTCTAGTCTAAGCCATGTTGGTAGATGCAGACTACTTGTTTGGGGTCCGCATGACTATCATAACCAATGTTTAGAGACTGTGGGTGACATGGCTCAGAATCGATCACAATGGCACAGGTGTATACACTCCCTGTCTTCCCTTAAACTATGAGATTAAAATTGCTTTATATCTTTCTTCCTTCCTATACTATATCCTTATATGCAACCTTTCTTATATATGTTACCACCATTAAATTAACTACTTCTATGAATTCGATGTTCATCTTGTTGTGCTAACGAGGTATGGCAACTTGAACCGATGCATATATGTGCCTGGTCCTACGTTGTAGCTGATTGATTGACTTACATATAATTTGTATTTATCACGGTAAGTATTTAAATTGGTACTGTGAGGTTTCAATTCTCAATCATCACCTCCTAGATTGAATTCCCTCTGTAAATATTTTTAGTCTATAATATGTTTACTGCCTTTGTGCGAAGCTAATATTTAAATACTTAATAGCAATTTAGTAATCTAAAGGTTAATAGGTCATCATAAATTCTGAATGTCATCTGTTCAATCCGTGGTGAGGTTATGAAATGACTACTGTTAAAGAGTCCCATACACAGCGATCTAGTAATCCTTGATTTTCACTGACCGTCTAATTTAACTCAGTTCGTAATGTAAAACCACAATAATTTACATTTGATTAAAATGATTATATCCCTATAGAAGGGGACAAGGTATTATAATACTTACTGGAAATGCATTTATATCACAAATTAATGAATCTTCTTTAATAGTCTGACAAATTTGTTTACTTTGAATTTGATGTTTAATAAACTTCGATTGAATAGATGATGTATTGTTCAAATTATCATTTTTATTAGAATGAGATTCTTTCATAGAATTTCTGCTGAGATCACTGTTTCTAGACGAAGATCGTAAATACTTTTTATGGGAAATACGAAATTTCAAAGAATTGTTTGAATCATTTTTGAATTCATCTTTCTGTCCTTCTTTTTTCTCATTATTAACATCTTCTTCGACATGAGGATCATCATCATAATCATTGTTACCACAGTCTTGATCCTCCTCTCCTTTTTCTCCTTCTTCTACTTCCTCTATATCTTTTTCTTCTAAATTATATTCATCAGTTGGTTTAATTTTAGATGAAGAAATAGGAGAATTTATAGATGATAAAGAAGAATTATCATCGGAACCAGATAAAGATAATTGATTTACTATATCACTTGATACTGGACTTTGTTCTCTAACAGCTGGACATGATTTTTTATGATAATAATATGATGCACCCCAACGATAACGTTTTGAACAACCAGGACAACAATATTTACCTTCAGTACTATGTTTACCTTCTACATGTTGTTTCAATGATAAACGTGAACTAAACTCTTTACCACAATGATAACATGATTTTGGTGAATTACCTAATGTTGTTATTGTTGTAGATATAGAATGAATATTATTCTCTGGACTATTATTAAAATTATTCTGTTGTAAATGATAATCTAATCGATCATTATCCATAACATCAATTATAGGACTTGAAGATAATTGTAATGATGATGATGTTGGTATAGGAGAAGATAAATGATTTTTTGATATTTCACATGGTAACTCTTGTAATTCAGAACGTTGAATATCATTCATACCTGAAGTATTTGTTGTTATAAATGAATTCTTTTCAGTAGGGGGATCTAATACATTCAATGGATTATTATTATTATCATTTTGTTCATTTTGGGATTTATTTAAATCAATAATATTTGGATCATTTTCATTATTATCATTATAATTATTGATTTTATTATAATTAAATTTTTCATTATTTTTTTTTAAATTTTCATAATTGATTTCTTCATTTTTTATTGATTTTTGTTGATTTTTTGTTAATTTTATTTCATTTAATAAATTATTATTATTTGAAGTTATTAGATTGTTCATTATTGAATTTTTATATTTTTCTGATCGTTCATGATCAGTATCATTTTGTATATTCTTAACATCTTGATGACGTAATTTATTCGAAGTAACTGTAGTATCAAATGGAAAAATGGATGATGTTTGTTTATATGATGTCATCATTGGCGGTGGTGGTGATGATGACGGAGATGTTGATGGAGATGATAACAGTGTTGTTGTTGTGGTGGTGGTGGTGGTGGCGGTGGTTGGTAGAACTGGGAATTCAGATTGAGTTAATGTACTTGAAAATGATTGTTGTACTAAATTTTTTAAAAGATTACAATTAGATATATGTGTTATATAACTCGATATTTCATTAAAGCGCATTCCACATACACATAATAGATTATTTAATATATTGGTGGCATCTAAAGCATGATTATTATTTGTTGGTGAAGATAAACTTGACATTGATGATGATGAAGATACTGCAGTAGTTAGTTTTGAAGCAATTGATGACAAAACACTATTGAACGGAAAATTTAACTCTGACTGGAAAGAAGAAGGTTCATTTAAATAGTTAAAATCAATTGATTCATTTGAGTTTGGCATCAATAACGGTGGTACAAAATGTGATGATTGAAAAATCGATTGATTTGTAAATGGTGGTAATAAATTTGAACGATTAATTGATGAAAATGATGGCAATGATTGATTGAATAAATTGGAACCTAACTGAAGTCGTGTAGATGACGATGATGATGTCGGTAAAGACGGGACTGATATTGAAGATGATTGTGTATTCATTAAATGATGATAAGGTGATACCATCGTCAATGAAGTTGCTGTTGTTGTGGCTGTTGAAGATGATGATGTGAAAGAATTAGTAAATCCTAAAGGAGGCGGTGGTATATTTGAAAATGGTGGGATTTGAAAATGCATACTCATTGCTGCTGCCGCTGCAGCGGCAGCTGCTAACGCGGTAAAATTATTTAAATGTGGCGGTGGCATCAAACTGACATCATCGTCATTATTATTATCACTGATATTATTATTACTGTTATTATGAAACATATTTGAATTGTTAGACAATTCCATTAAACTTGTTGATGAATTTGAATTAAATGGTGGTAAACATAAAGAATGTCCATATGATGAAAATGTTTCATTCCCACCTAGATTACCGTTGGAATTTCTTAATGATGTTAAACTATTATAGAATGTATCATTAATTTGTGAATTTATTGAACGTAAACTTGTAAGTGAATCTGATGTAATTGGGAAATTCTTTCTAATATCTGGATAATTAAGGTTATGATGATGATGGTGATGATTACGTTTCATTGAATTATTACCACTACTATTATTATTATTATTATTATTACTATGTTGATTATTGTGAGCAGTGTTTGTTGACATTGTAACAGTTATTGTAGTATTATTTATATCATTGCTTGTACATGAAGTTGATGTTGTAGGTCGTTTTTTACATGTACGTTGATGATGATAAAATACTGGTGGCCAACGATATTTTTTAGCACAATAACGACATGTATATTTTGGTGGATAATGTATATGCATATGTTGATCTAATAATGCTTTTGATTTGAATGCTTTAATACAATGACAACATTTAAATGGTCTTGATAAATCTGTTATATTTTCAATGGATGTTGTTGTTGGTGGTGGTAAGTTGTTTACTGAATTATTCTGCTGAGATTGATGTGATTGTCGATGATGTTGGTCATGGTGATGATCCATTTTTAAATCTTTCATATGACCATGATAAAGAGATTTTGGATGACTGTTAGTATTGAATTCGCTCATATGTAATGAATTTACAGATGTAGTACAATTGTAAGTATCATTATTACTAAGGTTTAATTCAATCATTGGTGAATCTATTGAATTATCCAATGATAATGTTGATGATGAAGATTTGGTTGTATCATTGTAGTATGATTTACCAAGAGATTGTAGATTTGATAGGAAATGTGAATAGGAATTCTGTGAATTTGTACCATGTGAGGGGTAAGGTGAACATAAATTAATATTTTTATGATTATTACTACTGTCAATATTATCAGAAAGGGTTGAATTAGATGAAAAACGACTTGTCGACGAAAAGTGATTATTATTATTGTTTAAATAGTTATGAAATGTCGATGATCCACATGAGGATTTCAATAAATCATTGAGATTTTTCTCAAAATCAAATGTTGAACTATTAATTAATCCATTCAATAATGGGGATACACATGATCCATGATTATACTGTTGTGATTGGTTAATTGTCGAAGGTGTTTGTGTATTCTTCATATGTAAATTCAAAGAACTCATATTATTACTGTTACTACGACTAATGGTATCAGTGATATTGGAGGCAGATGTATTAGTGGTATTACTACCACCAGCTATAGTGCTTCCAATAATGTTGCCAATATTTCCAGTGAATGATATAAATTTTGGACATTCAGTTAAATGATTAATTAATTCACCAGTATGTTGAAAACCAGTTTGATGGCATGCATTACACACTAATTTTTTATCTAACATAGAAACATCATGATATTGATCATTGCTAGAACGTATTCTTGATGGTGATGATGTTGGTGATGATGATGATGAATGATTTCTTGAAAGATGATGCATTTGTTTTAAATGATTATAACGTTGACGATGATTATTTTGATGTTGTTGGGACTGATAATGACGATGATCTTGTTCGTGATCCTGATTGTTTTTTATTGAATAATAATTAGGAGTATCACTGGATGGCATTATACTATCGGTATTCGTTGATGTTATCATTGTCTTCACTGATGATGATGATGTGTCGGTAGTAATCACATTATTAGTATTACTAATAGTAGCAGATGAAGAGAATTGATCAAAACAATCGTATGAATTTAAACAGTTATCAAATAATTGATGCTTTAAATAATATACTAATTGATCATATGATTCATTACATTTAGAACATGTGAATTGACCAACGTTATCATGTTCCAATTCAAAATGTTTACACAAAACTGAGATATCTGTACTTGTGAAAGGACATTGTGGACAACTGACATTAGGTGATAGGTGGTTATTATTACTATTACCAGTATTATTATTATTATTATTATTAAAGGATGGTGGCGATATGGAAGAGATGGATGAAGAGGGAATTTCATTTGAACGAAATGACAAGTCTAATGCTGATTGAAATAAACTTGAATTCGCTTTGTTGTTTACATTATTCTTAACTAAAATATTATTGTCATTACTGTTATCATTATTGTAAACTCTGTTAATTGAAAAATTATTTAAATTCGCTGATTGAAAACATTTATTCCATTCGGATGACATAACCATTGTTGTATTCTTAGCTATAACTTCAGCGAAATTTGACGCAGTCATCATAAATTCATGACAATGACATGCATGTTCCATAAATTCACTTGAATCTAACATTATTCGACCACATGGACATGTAAATTGATTAGGTAAAAGAGATTTATTATCAATATTATTATTATTATCAGTTTGATTTGAATCCAGACGTGCACGTTTCAAAGAATTCATAGAACTAAACAAAGATGACGATGGTGATAATGATGATAATGATGATGAGGAAGATGAAGAAGAAGATGATGATGATGATATAGGTGAATTGTTCAATGTTGTCGTATTAATATTTGAAATTGTTGTAACCGTCGTAGACATTGGTTTCGATGTAGTTATCTTTAATGGTGAAGACATTGATATTGAAGGAGATGTACATGATAATGAAGTTTCATATGAAAATTTCTGTAAATTATCATATTTGTCATTATCAAATTTTAGATTATCTTCATGACATAATAATTCACTACTTATTTTATTCAATTTTTGAGTAGTATCTAAATGACTATTTTCATTCATGTTATTTCTCTCAAAGTGATTGTGTTTAATTATCAATTATAGTTTTTATGAAATGAATAGATTATTAAATCCAACCATTAATCATTAATTGTATAACCAATCAGTGATTAGTTTATATAAAGGAGTACGGAATGGTCGATCCTCACAGTATGTAATATAGATAGATGTAATAAATCTAAAGGAATCTTGTTCGAATACAGTTATTATTTTAAAGGGGTAGAATAACGAATTGTTGATGAGTATAATATTATCATAATATGTACATCGAATACATTTTAAGTATATTTATATATATGCATTATATAAATGCTTGAAATATGACAATAAATTCGGTCTTCTCTACACTAATGAAATGATCGCTCTACCCTCACCTATATAATTCTTGTCCTATCTCATTTAATACTATATCTATATGTACACTAGATATACAAGCCTGTCTTGATATCCTCACCCACCCACCACAATTTCTCTCTGTTTTTTCTGTTCCATCATAGAGAGAAGTCGATGTTATAATATTAATACTAATAATAATACTACATAAATTGTCTACCCTTGACATGTATGAAAAATGACTATACTGCATGTCCACAATGAATAGTTGTATACCTAATGGTTTAAGTATTTTTCACATATGTATGAATGTATGTATGTATATCATTGTATTGAGATAGATAGATATCATTTACTTAATTTACCGTGTTTTATATAAAGTTTAAATGTACAGAGCATTTATTACGGATCGGCTAGACACATAATGACCTTACTCTACTTTGAAGCTACAATTTAATGTCTTAAAATTTTTCAACTTCATAACTATTCAGACCCCTCTCTATCCCTTGAGATAGTAAATGCATTAGTAGTTGTTATTCTAGTATTAGTAATTATGTGTATATATGTGTACATATGCATACATACATACATACATACATACATGTGTAAGACTAGACACAATCATAGAGAATAACGAGTAAATTTGCGATTCATTTGAAAACAGTGGGAAGTGTTTCTGTATAATCATTCATAAAATATATACACTACTTATATCACATAAACCATATACCTACATATAGATAGGTATACAAATCAAAAGGATAGAAGATATTATCAAAGTATCATGATGATTACTATTAGTATTTATGAAAAATTCTTGATACATTTTTAAAATCGGGTGTTTCTATATTAATTTGTATTTTGGTTGGTTAAATTGTGAATAATAATGCGTTACTAGAACTACACAAATGAAATGATTTTCCTTTTTTTTTCAAGGAATAATTATTATTTATAGTTGAAATCACGAGTCAATTGAAGCTAGACCACCATGGAAAACCTGGGAGCGCTGGATGGCCGTTGCGTCCTATTGTGGGACTCCTCAGCAGTACGTATCCACAACCCCGCTTCGCGAGATTCAAAATTAGGACCTATCAGTCTCGCTCTAGAGCACTTGACCGATAGACCACTGAACTGGCCGACATCCAACGGTGTTAATCTCTAATTTCAGCCAATTGTTATTATCAGAAATTCTAGTACATTAAATAGGAATAATATATTTGTAAAATCTCAGCGAGTGAATTTGAAGTAAATCTAACGTTTCGCTTGGCAATCTGGTCCAAGCTTTTTCAAGGAATTATAATCAAACGTCAAAATTAAATTACATCAACTCGGCGCTCATATACCTGGAAACTATTCGCTCTAATTTAGACGAAAGTTATTTTATAGGAATTCTAGTAATTTAATAATTGGATTCATTAGTCAATTTAAGCTAGACCATCTTGAAAAACCTGAAAAGTGTTTCGTGGATGCGCATTGATGAAGAGTCCCGTATTGGGACGAAACGGCCGTCCAGTGCTTCCAGGTTTTTCATGGTGGTCTGGCTTACATCGACTCATGAATTCAATCATTAAATAATTATTAAACAAAAAAACTCGTTACATAATTAATTCGATTTGTCTAAAACGGTTTAAATGGAATATACAAATGTGGAGTTAGTGAATAAACTCACAGACATGGACACTTCATGAAGATCAATTTGATGGAATTTTCAGCTATTATTATTATCGTCATTTTGAAATATGGCACTACAGTCATATGTAAAAGAATTTAAATCATTAGTTGATCTAAGTTAGAGCATTATTGAAACCCTTGAAGCACGGAGTGGCTATTGCGTCTTAGTACGGGACTCATCAGTAATATGCACCTGCTACTCCACTTGGAATCGAACCCAGGACCTTCGGTCTCACATTCAAACGTTTAACTATAAGGCCAACTACGCGAAGTCCAGTGACACAAATGTCCAACTTTAGTTAGTTTATAATTTACATCATGAAAATTACATCATTTCCACAGAACTCCACTATATTAATAAAATAATTCACCACAAATATCTAGCAAAAATAGATCTATCTGTAAAATAATCATACTATATAAAACAATGCAGGGAAATACGCCTAGATTTCAATTAGGTACCTTGAAGCTGACACAGAAACTATACCATGCGAAATCAATAAAAGAACCTGTGATGAGGAATCTATCAAATACTATTAGAGTTTTGACATTAAAACGACCGTCGATTTTCGCTTTACTCAAATGATAAATTTTGACGGCTTGAAAAATAAATTTCGAAAATTGTAGCTGGTTTAAGTTTTATTGAAATACTTGCTCGATATATTTAGGTACACATTTTATTCGGCCAAATAGGTAAAGATATACCATACTGACGAACAAATTACTTATGGATAGGACCATTTTCGAACTTGAATCCAAACTACGAACAGCGTGAATACTAAGGCCCGTTGTTATTGTAAAGGTAATCACTATATAAATTATTGGCTTTTATATTCATTTTACAATAATAGTGATGGATTATATCATTCTTAAAACTACTAATATTATTGGGTGAGTATAAACTGGGTAAACTGCGAAAAAATTGATCATTGATGTGGAGACAAGTGTGAATAATAAATTTAGACCATAGGTGTCTTAGTATTATTCCTGTTAAGGGATGTGTGGCTAAAAGTGGATTTCACTGATGTAACTGTCTCACAGTGTAGATATCCACACTAAAACTCATACCCAATATCTGTTGTTTCGAATGTCAACTATTATCCTTCATATCAATTCTTTAGTTATAATTTTAACCGGATTTTAGTGAATATTAACCGATGGATGTGATGATTCCTTCTGAGAATAATCAGATAGAAATCCATAAGAGATTTTCCTAGTAATTGACCGTATTTTGGATGATTTTCAATGATTGTGTCAATTTTTAGAATATATTAACAACGTGAAATTGTAAATATCGAAAGTATACTGAGAAATATCCATTTTATAAACAGATCTCATTAAAACCAACGGTAAAATTAATTGAGGCTAAAAATTTGAACCTTTGCGTACCGGCTTATTGGTCTAAATGTTTAGTACTTACAGTGAGATCGACTAGGTAGTCTCATAACAGGACGAAGCTGTTCAGTGTTTCCTGGTTTTCAATGGTTGTCTAAGATCAATATTTGATGTTAGTCATAAAAACCGTACCAAAACATTGATTTTTCACATGAGCCAACATCAACTATAGATTTGTGGAAAAGTAAGAAACATTAAGACAACCGTTTACTCCCGGTTTTTAATTATTACGATAACTGAATCCTGGACTGTTAAGTATTATAGCGAGAACTTATTTACTACTATTGGGAAGAGCTTACTTCCTGGTTATGAAATAATCATCAATCAATTAATTATACTTAATAGTTTATCTGTTTGCATTCTTCTATGAATAGATGAAGTGGTTATATAGATATTTTTGTACTTATCAATGTAAGCTTGAATATAAACATTGTTGGCAACATGAACTCGATGAATATTTGTCTTCTTACTGCTTTTCTTCACAAGTTGCCCATATTTTTCATGGTGGCTAGAAGATAAATTTAGGGCATACAATGAAATATCACCAGTGGGGTAAGTGTTCCCACAGTATACCACAGATGAATTTCATATAGATTTAAGCACATATTTCTCATATTCTGCTGTAACAAGAACTTATTAAAATTGTATGTTCGATGCTTTGAATGTTTCGAAAAACAAGAGCTGACAAACTGTATTCGGAAATCTAATTAGAAAGTTTACTTTATCAGCTTTTTTTAATTTTCTTTTTTAAACAGTAACTGAGTGGATAACGCGGTGGCGTTTGAAGCGAACGGTAATGGGTTCGAGTCCCAGAGTGGACATCAACTCTGAGATGCAGGTACATCCAGTCGACGAGTCCCAAATAGGACGAAACGCGCGTCCTGGATTCCACTGCTAACCACTATCCATCTTTGCTTATTATCAATCATTACTTGTATTCTTTGTAAGTACAACTCAGCTGCTCTATGTTTTACGGATTTTCAGCATTAAAATCCTGTAGACCAAAGAACTGTGAAGTATTCTGTTACAAAGTAAGATCCGCAGAAGTCAAACCCAGAATTTCTCCTTAATAAAAGATACTCTTAGAACCAAAGTGATTGCAGAAGTTATATAGAATTATATCAGTGTAATCAAATGTCCATGAATTGAATTGACCTCTCTCACAAAGTGACTACCTATACCCAACTTTCTGACTAGTAGTGCTAAGAGCTCTATCCATCGTCTACAGGAACCTTGCTTGGTTTATCGTATTAACCATTTGAAAGTCACCATAGCAGCCACATACTTACAAGTAACCTCGAGTCTAGTAGTTTCTAGCAAATCAAAAGAACATTTCTACTAGTGCTTCTTCATTTAGGTCACAAAACTTTCATCCTCCATAATTATGTATATAATTCTAATGTTTATTTAATTTTCTGCTTCTGATTGATTGGTCCGTATAACAATGAAAAACTATTTCATTTTCTCCGGATGATTTTTATTTGTAATATTATGTCTGTGTATGTATTGGAAACCTTACTGTAATTAATTTTGTCTCATGTGTTATCGTGTTTTGATTTCGGGTTAGTGTCATTGCTAATTATTACTGATTGCTTAGATTATTTGGTGTAAGTAAGTCTTGCGTGCTCACTGAGATGATGGCTCACATTTTCTCTTGTCCTAACCCCTTCTAGCTTTTTTGATACATGTTTTCAGTACATTCTCCAAGAATAAAACGTACCTCTATATAAGGCATAGACCTA